TTGTATAACCATTCATGATACAAATTTCAGGTGGCTACTAGTGGTTAATCACTAAGTTGCCTTTTTTTCAAATAAAAGGAAATTAATTTTGTTATTATTAGAAGAAAATCTCACATAATATAAGTTAGTACCCATTTTACTTAAATGTTCGGGTCTAACCCAGGTTACACGAGTTAAATTATACTCGGTCGAGTCAAGGGTCGGGTTACAAAAATATGAGACCTGAATAAATACGAGTCTTATATTTTTTTATTCAGATCGGGTCGAATATTTCCTCAAAACCCGACCCTACTTGACCCGGTAGGAGCACTAGTTGGAATAACTATATCAGGATAATCAGTAGAATTACTATAATTTGTCCATTCATAATCGACTTTACAGTAGTACGTTACCACCCTTTGTGGACCTTGATACTAAACATATATGACAATAATAATTGAACAATTAAAAGAGTACTATAGAATAGACTATTTTATTTTGTTAAATTTGGCAAAGTTTTTTGCGAAGTTAATGTAGTTTTAATAATAAATAATTGTCTAAGATTTTTTTTATTAAAAGATATAATTGTCTGAGATCTTTTTTCGTTAGAAATCAAACTAAAATGATCAACAGTATGAAAAAATATTTTTTTTCGGAATCATCTTTAAGAATATCTCTGCAAGAAGAAACTACACAATGTATTTAGGACAAAATTTTTCTACTAAAACAGGAAAAATAAAATCTATTTGGCCATAACTATTTATACAACTAACAGTATGGCATAACTTAAGTTAGGTAAATTATCATTATATTAGATGGGTTAAATTATTTTCTTTATTTTTAACATTAATAAATTGATCTGCGAATTCACCTGATATGAAAATCCCGTGTATGTCATTTTTACCGCAGTCAATGAAGTCAACATGACAATCATGACAACATGTTGACAACTTCAACATAAAATTACATCTAAGGTTAATTTTCACTTCCAATCGTATGACAAACACTCTCTTCTCTTTACAAGTTTTTACAATGTTTTCAAAATTTTTGGTAGAGTTAGTATCTAATGATTATGAAAAACTTTTTGAAACTGAAATAGGTTATGACGTTGTTATGTATGCTGGAGAAGAACCGAATGTTAAAGAAATCCATGCTCATTCAAATATTTTATGCATTAGGTCTATATATTTTCGTGCAGCATTTTCTAATAAATGGGCTGAAAAAAAGGATGGAAAATTTATTTTAAGGAAACCAAATATTTCGCCTTATTTATTTAATACTATTATCAGGTAACAACGTACTATGTTATAAAGTTTTAATAATTGTCTAAAAATATCAAATTAATAATTATTGGATTATATTTTAAGGTTTATTTATTGTGGAAACATTGAATTAAAAAATTTGCAAGGATCAGATGTATTGAAATTGTTGATAGCTGTAGATGAACTCAATATCCAACAATTAGTTTCTCATATTCAAGAATATTTAATTGAATATCAAACTGAGTTTTTATATCAAAACTCAACTGACATTCTTGAAACTGTTTATCAGCATGAGACATTTACAGATTTATGGAATTTTTGTCTTGAAAAAATTTGTAAAGAACCTAAAATTTTATTTGATTCTTATAAATTTATTAATTTAAAACTCCTTTATTAGAATTATTATTAACAAGAGATGATTTAAATATGAACGAAATCGAAGTTTGGGAAAGTTTATTGACATGGTGCTTGTGTCAACAAAATATGGAAAGTGATCAAACTAAATGGAGTACAGATGACATTATAAAGATTGAGAGGTCATTACATATGTTTATTCCATTAATTAGATTTTATGATATTTAACCTACAGATTTCTTTTACAAAGTTTATATTTACAAAGAAATCTTACCAAAAGATTTGATTCATAATCTTTTGGAATTTTATATTGTTCCTAATATTAAACCTAAAACTAACACAGCACCTTCAAGAAAGCTAAAACTTAATCCAACTTTAATTCAATCAAATCACATTCCTTTATTTGCTTCATGGATTGATAGAAAAGATTCCTCCTATAACAAAAATGAAATTCCTTATGAATTTAAATTATTATATCATTCAAATCGGGTTGGATTTAGCGCTGAATCATTTCATCAAAATTGTGATAATAAAGGAGCCACTATTTGGGTAGCAAAAATTCAAGGTCCAACACAATTAATTGGAGGTTATAATCCACTTGATTGGAATGGAAATGATGAATGGAAACCTACTACAGATAGTTTTATGTTTAGTTTCACAGATGGAAAAAATATTTCTACTGCAAAATTAGGTTATGTTAAAAAACCAAATTATGCTATTTATTGTGATAATAGTCAAGGTCCACATATGGGTTATTTTTATTGTAAAGGCTATAATATATGGAATACTTATGGTGGTAATTTTTATCCTAATATAGGTATCCCAACTTCTAATTTTTCAGTAGATTATTATGAAGTATTTCAAGTAATTATAAAATAGAGAAAATTTAAATATTCAGTATGAATATGATTATTATGTACTGTATATAAACTGATGAATGATATGCTTACATAATTTCTTGGCACTTGGTAATAAATAATTTATAATAATAATTTAGTATTCAAAATGCACCAGTTGTAAATTTGTTATAGCTTTTTTCATTAATTAAAAATGTTGTTTTGCTATAATATAAATTGGTGTATTATCAAACAATTGTAATATAAAATTAAATTATAAAATTTAGAATTTAGTGATTGTACTTAAAAATAATGATACATTTATAGAAAACTTCAGATTTACTTGTTTTGCTTTCTTTTTATCATGATTTTAATGATCAAAGATCTAATTCTACTAGTAGTATATAAACCAAAAACTGTTCGTGTTCAACTTAAAGCAAGTTAAGCTACTATATTTTGGAAAAGTTTTGATTAAACTTGATATATAAGATTGAAGCCATTGACCGAATTTAAACTAAACTGTTTAATAAATTAGTATAATTATTAATTATTATTTAGGGACAGCTCTGGAGGCCGATGAGAGTCTGGAGCTCTATTAGTATGATACTATATTGATTAATGAATATCCGATGAGCTAGATACTAAATATAAATGGCAATAATAATATAAATGATTACATGATGATTTGAATATTAAGTTTTTATTTTCTTTATTATTTATTTATTTTTAGTGGTGTGTACGAAGAAGCAGCTATTAAAGACTTCCCATCATTTCTTTTTGTCCTTTTCGTCTCCTGTCACACCTCTTCATCTTCATCTTTCCATCACTCCTTTTCGTCTTCCATCACTCATCTTCATCTTCCCATCACTCCTCTTTAACTCCCATTACTCCTCTTCATCTACCATCATTCCATATTTCTCCTTTTTGTTTCCTATCATTTCTCACTACTCTTTTTTACTCTCTTTCATCTTCTATTACTTTCCATTACTCCATTGTTATTTTATTTTTTTATTAGCACCTTTTCTTCTTGATCATTGTAATTTACTTATCTTTTTATTTATTGCTATGATTGTTTCTTTTATTTGTATCACTTCATTAAAAATACAGTGATTTTTTCTTTAAAATGTAAATGTGTGACTTAAATTTTATTATTTGCAAATTAGATAAGATTATTTTGAATAAATAAGTTTGCAAAAATTTTTTTTAAAATACCTTTTGCGATAAAATTTTAAATCAAAAATTATTCATAAACAAAATGTTACACAGTTATTGGATTTCATTGATCTTCACTTTTACTTCCAATTATAGGCAGATCAGCTGATTGATCTACATTATTTAAACTTCCAATTTTAAACTGTGTAACTGTTTTTCTGACCCTACATTTACTACCATATGGTTTATGGTCATACATCGGAGTTTATATAAAACGTACTTCATTATTTATTTACTATTTTTATTTTATTTCATTTTATTTATTCAAAAAAAAAAAAATGTCCAAACTTAATAAACATATTCTTTTCTTGATATTTGAGGAATTACAAAATAATTCAAAATTCCTCTTTTCATGCCTAATGGTTAATAGAATATGGTGTGAAACCGTTATTCCAACCTTATGGAGGAATCCTTGGTGCTATTCTATTAATTATAAAAAAATTTCTTTATACTCCATTATTACTTCTTATTTGTCAGATGATATTAAAGAATTATTAACAAAGAGAGGGATTCTAATTTTAGGTCAATCACTTGCATTTGATTATTTGTCTTTCTGTAGGAATATCAATATAAAAGTTATAGATGATATAATTTCCATTGGATCATCATTAGAATATAATCGATTTTATTTACAAGAGGAAATTTACAGTTTATTGGTAAAGAAATGTCCAGAAATAAAGTACTTAAATATATGTGGTACCTATGAGATAGTATATCATCCAGAAGCAAAGGTTCGTCTTGAATCACTTTGTGAATTAACATGTGACACATTGATTGATTCCAGGTACTTTTACAGATTAGCGCATATTTGTCAACAAATACAAAGAATTATCATTATTAACAAAAACTTAAAAGCTAATCAGGGAACTATTAAGTTAATCGAATTTCAAAAAAATTTAAAATATTTTAAATGGGTAGATGAGTTTGAAGTAGAAGATGATGGCATTTGTTATTGGGAAGTATTAGAAGACCCATATACAGGAATTTTTAACGTATTAAAAAAACATGCAAATACTCTTAATCATTTTGATATAAACCTTCGTTATGAATATGACGATTATTTTGATTATTACGATATTTACAATGAATGTAATTATACATTTCTACACTATGCACTCCTAGAACTTCATAATTTAAAAATATTAGAAATTAATTCTCCTATATTTTTAAATAATGATGTTTTCAATAAAAAGTTGGAAATGGTGGCTTATCGTAACCTTGAGATCCTAGAGATAGGTTTTACAGATATTTATCAAGTCAATTGTATGATTAAAAATAGCTTATGTCTTAGAGAATTAAGGATTAACGATTTTCACTGGAATGATGTTAATTTTTATAATTACTCTCTTGAATTTATTCGTACAATTTGTGAAAATTGTCTTTTAATTGAATATTTAACAATTCCTGTATTTCCATTATTGGAGAATCACTTTATTGAATTTGAAAAATTACTTAAAAAATGTCAAAAATTACAATCATTAAATTTTAAAGAAACATATTATGAATCAGGGAGAGAGTTAGAATTTGGAGATTACTTGTCAAATGTGTTAATTAGGGAAGCATCAACAAATCTAAGAGAAATTAGAATTCCTTATAACATTGAGTTTTCTTTAAAAACTTTAGAAACATTCCTTGAAAAATGGAAAGGACGACCTGCAGTTTCCTTATATTTTGATAGTGCTTATTTTTATCGAAAAGATAATTCATATATGAAACTGTTCGATAAATATAAAATTGAAAAAGTTATTAAAGATATAAACGTGTAAATAATTTCAATTGCATATTGAAATTATTTATGACTACAAATTTTATTTGCGGTATAACAACTGAAAATTTGAAATAGTAATTATATAGTATTCATGTATTATGAATTATAAGAGAAAGATTTTTATCTATAACGTAGTTTCTGATTTTTTTTAAACACAAATAATTCCACCTAATATGGATAATATATTTTTAATTTCTTATATATATTATAAATTTAAATTTCTATATCTTTTAATTACTGATTAACAATTAAATTCTTTCAGAGTATGATATAAATTAATTTAAGATTTTCATCTTGCGCTTTATTTAATTTATCTTGAACTTTGAATTGATGTTGGTTCAGAAACATCTACTTTAAGCATGATTATTAATAAAATTTATTAATTTACTTAATATTACATTAAAGTTTGTCAATTTTTATATTTAATAACTTCAGATGTAATAATATGTTTGTTTGCATGATAAATATGTAAAGAATTAGTTAAAGATCAATAACAATTCTTCGGTAAGATGATGAATATAATAACTGGCTACTTTGGGTGCTCCAGCTTTAGCTAAAAAACCAAATAATCAAAATAATGAAAGAAATAAACCTGTTGAATTATTTTTATTTTTGAGTGACTTGTGTAAAGATTTAAGACCAAAACTTCCAGTTGATTATAAAAAGGCTATTACTGATTGTCTTAGAGAAATTGGAAAGGTATTAATTAAATTATTGATACTGTATTTCAAATAATATATTTTATATATTTTATTCAACCGCTGCTGGAGTATTAATTTCTTTGAAAATGTTTTTATTGGTTCTTACTGTTCTTGCAGAATATTCTGAAAAAGATAATTCTATTATGAGAGAATGAGCATATAATGCAAATCTCATCAATGATAAATATTCGAAAAATCTACGGCACGTAAGTAATAAGAGAAGAACTTGAATTTCTAGTTACTTCTTTTCTAAAATGAATAAGAGCAAATAAATCGTAAGCCCTATAAAAATTTATTCCATATTTTTTATTCCATGTTATTTCTGCAAATGTATCATATTCGTGAAGTTTTTAAAGAAATTACGGATAAGAATTTTTACAGGAAAGTGATAAATAAAATTTACCATATGTTATTTAGTTAAATTCAATATATTAATAAATATAAATTAATTAATAAATAAACAAAGAAACAGCAATCTAAAAAAAATAAATGATTAAATAATTAATCATCAATTTCACTAAATGAGATTTACTTTTCTTGGAATTCTAAGTTAATTTCGTCACTAATTTTGATATGCTTTCCTGTTTTTTTTTGTAAATAAAAAAAAAACTTAACAATGTAATTATTGCATACACTTACTATTGACTCCATTAGTTTGAATTTCATCTTCAATATGAAGAATTATTTCTGAAATTAATTTGCTTAATTGTTTACTAGTATAAATTACTTTCTGCACGAATTTTTAATAATAAAATCTCTACTTGGACAATAATTATTATTATAATATATTAATATTAATAGTATTATAAAAAGTTTTGCATATTTTCATACATACCTTTAAATATCACTCAAATTCTTTTGTTACATATTCCAAAAAATGAGTTTAATAATAATTAATAATTCTTTATTATTTGATTAATTTGATTATTCAATTATTTTTCATATTTATAATTTAAGATTATAAGCTAAGTATTACGTACTTTGCTTCAATGAATTCATTAATGAATTAGACGAAGATTTGGAAGTAAAAGAACTTAATGATCTACTTGTATAAATTGCTTTTGAATGAGCCTCTTCACTAAATTCTGGACCAAGCAACTTAGATTTTATTAATTGCAATCGTAATTCATCAGCTTGATTAAACTGATTAACATCTTTTCCCATATTAGCCCAAAGATCAAGACTTTCCCAAACTTTTGCTGAAGGTCTCTTTTTAGGATCAGTATTCCAGCATTTTTTCATTAAATTAACAAAATCTTCTGGAGTATCATCTGTAATTTTAGGCTGATAAATATAATTGGTATAACTAAGTGTTTGTTGAAGCAACTATAAGAGCGCCCTGTCCTATTACCCCTGCCGGTTATATTTAAAGAATTTTCATTATTTTCCAAATTTGTAATTACTTGAGGATATATTCTAAAACTTGTGTAACTAAACTTTATAAAATTATATATCTCTAATATGCTAGAATTTTTATCAATGTTATTCACAAAATTAGCAATTTGATTATAGTAACTAGAAAAAAAGAAAAATACATGATATATAATGTTCTTAAAATAATTTTCAAATTAATTATTTACCAAATATTATTCCTTTTAAATTGAAATTTCTTCATTCTACCAGTGATTGTAAATCTCTGCATTTACCTATTATGAGAAAGAAAAATTATTAATAGTGTGCTAAATTTTTATTTAATGGTAAAGAAGACATAGCCAATTCCTCCTTTAGAATTAGCAGACTTTACTGACAACAAAGTAGGATATTATCTGCTTGAGTTGGTTATCAAGTGAACAAGAGAAATAAAAAAAAATAAAAATAAAAAAAAAGAAAAAAAGGGAATAAAAAAATAAAAATAAAAATAAAAGAAAAAAGAAAAAGCAGGTAATTTCATAGGAATTACCCACTTTGCTCACCCTTACCCAACCCAAACAAATAAATCCAGTACCCTCCTAAGTAAAATTTGTGAACTCCCCGACTCAAATGAGTTATCCGTTCTAATTTTAGCTTAGGAAGTTACCCACTTTGCAAATAAAAAAATACACACCTCTTTTAAAGTCTCTTAATAAGCCATTTACACTCATCTAAAAGTCAGTAATGCTCCATTCAGAGAATTTTCATCTGTTGTCCAGTATTTCAATACAAAATAATGCTGTAATTGATAAATAATTGAATATAATTCAGTAATAAGAAATCAGATAACAAATATAAAGTATAAACATAAAAAAAAATTTTTCACATTTTTAATACTTGATATGCACTCTTTTTCAAGAATTCCTCTAAGAAATTTCTTCATTTTACCAGTGATTGTAAATCTCTGCATTTACCTATTATAAGAAAGAAAAAATTATTAATAGTGTGCTAAATTTTTATTTAATGGTAAAGAAGACATAGCCAATTCCTCCTTTAGAATTAGCAGACTTTATCAATAACAAAGTAGGATGTTATTTGCTTGAGTTGGTTATCAAGTGAACAAGAGAAATAAAAAAAAATAAAAAAAAAAAAAAAAAAAGGAATAAAAAAAAAAAAATAAAAAAAAAATAAAATAAAAAAGAAAAAGCAGGTAATTTCATAGGAATTACCCACTTTGCTCACCCTTACCCAACCCAAACAAATAAATCCAGTACCCTCCTAAGTAAAATTTGTGAACTCCCCGACTCAAATGAGTTATCCGTTCTAATTTTAGCTTAGGAAGTTACCCACTTTGCAAATAAAAAAATACACACCTCTTTTAAAGTCTCCTAGTCATTTTACACACATCTAGTAAACTGGCAATACTCCATTCAGAGAGCTTTCACCTGTTGCCTAGTGTTTCAATGCTGTAACTGGTAAATAATTGCCCATAAATTTTTGATAAGATTTAAGTTGAGACTGTTGGATGGCCATTTTAACACTACTGAAACATTTTCCTTAAGAAAGGCTTTTGCAAGATGGCTGGTATGCTTGGGATCATTGTCTTGTTGGAAGCACCAATGATCACCAAGCATCTGGAAGATCTCAGTAATATGTGTACGAAGAATTTCCACAATCCACATAAAATTTGGCATTCATAATTTGTTTAAAACAAAATAATTTTGTTTTTCCTTTCACGTAGAAATCACCTCATGCCAATCTTAAGGCATAATCCGAACTGGTCTTTCTCCTTTATACCATTGTTCAACGGTGTTTCTAAAGATTTGAAAAGCAGTTTTATCAGTAAAACCAGTTTGTCCCATTGGTTATTAATATGTTTTTTTGCCCACTCCACACGCTTTACCTTATGTGTTTCGGTCATCAGCATAGGGGTTGCATTAGGCAGTCTTTTTACATAACCAATACTTGAAAGATGCCTTCCAATGGTTCTATACGATACTTCTACGCCTATATTTTCTCCAAAGTTCTTGTGGAAAGAGACGTATCATGCCTTACATATTGACCAAGTGCACGGGAGACATTTGTGGTAATCTTTTTAGGTCTCCAGCATGCTTTATAGTCCCATTTTCTTTTAATTTTTTTATATTATCGTAAATAGTGGACTTTGGGATGTTTGTTAACTTATGTAATTCTTTTACATTATGAATACCGTTATTTCATAAATGTAATAAGAAAACTTCACAAGACGTTTTTTTATTCAAAGAAGACATTACGATGGGAAGTTTCTTGCGAAAGGAAGGGTATAGGTAAACACAAAGGTTGTTAAACGTAAAATACAACCATATTATTTATTATTTGTTATATTCGGACTCTAGGGCATTTTTGGAAAGAACGTTCTAAAAAAGGGGAGTATTTTTTTTTTTTTTTTTTTGGAGAAAACTGATGGTATATATATACTTGTTTACAAGTAAAAAAATCGCGACTCACAACTGTGAGTAAAAAATGATCGTATCTCATGTGATTCTGCAATTGATGATGTGCGGAGCTTGTATATGTATAGTATCAGTTTTTAATAGTTATAGTTTTATTTATATTAGCTGTTAGTGTATTAATATGTAAATATATTTAAAAATACTCATTATATATTAAGTGGCTTAGTGATTAAAATAGTATAATTTTATGTCCGACGTGATTATTTTAAACAATTGAGACATATTGTGGGAATAGGTGTGGGAATACAGTGATGAAAAAAAAGATGATGTCAAAATCATTGTACTACATCACTTGAAATAATAAAGATCGGCAAATTATCTAAATTTTTGAATATGTCCGATTCATATCATCTGGTATTGATTATCTGCGACTTTATTAAATCATCGACGGCTGATTTATTTTTTTCATTGAACGCGCTTTCGTTATCTCATTTATGAGTACCTGTTTAATAATATTAAAATTTTGAAACCTAATTAATATCAAGGTAGATAATCTATTATCAATAATAACTTGAAATACTCTATTTCAAAAATTTCTCTATTAATGATTTTCTATCATATGAATGTTGCTTACCAACAATATTATTAATAAAAGATCCTGATGATTTGATATACAAATCTTGTAAACCAAAATATGATCTCTCTTCTTTTTCAGACTCAACTTAATATAGGATTAAATGTTGTTAATGAAAATAAAATAAATTTGACGTTATACATTGATAATTTATATGATTATGGGGTCTTCCATCTGCTACCATTTTGGTACGACACCATTATATCCAACAATTATCTCTCTTAGGTGGCGAACTTTAATTATAAGAATAGTTGGTCCCTAATTATCGCAATGTTTATGAAATTTATCAATCCCAAAACCATCACGACTAGCAAAGTGTTCCTTTTTTTCTTATCGATCTAACTTGCTATTAATGCAACATCAAATATATATCTTGGAGGCAGAATTTGAAAAATATTGAGTAACTTCATCATCGAAATCATCAGGTAAAATATTTTTAAAATAAGTTCTAAACTTCGTGTATTCATCAAGTGACATTTGAAAAAATCGAATATGAAAGATACAACTTTGTAAAGTTTTCTTTAGATCTATGAAATTCAATGGTTTCATTATTTAATATGGAATTGGTATTTTTGATTCCCATTTAATTAAATATTCCCAAATTTTAATTTCTTCTAATTTAAGATAATCACATCTTAAAAATTGAACAAGTTTAGTTTCTTCCATTTTTAAGTAATCATCTGATTCAAAAATAACTTCGGGATTATTACACAACAAATCTATTTCAACTTTATGTAAATTAACGAAATTATCACATTGTAAAATTTTAACAATATCTTTTGTTTTCCATTCTAATATATTCCAAAGCAAAACTTCCTCAAGTTGTTGATAAAGCTCAAGTAATTCAAGTTCATCAGCGGAAATTATAACATCAATTATAAGACTAATCTCATTATTTTCAACGGAAATTATCCCCGAATAAATATACCTATTCATAATAATTTTGATTTTGAGGTAAATTTTTTTTCTTTTTTATTAAATATAATGGAAGTAAATACTTACTTTATTAGAACTTGAAATATCAAAAGTGAAATGTTAGGCTTTTTAAAAAAAAATTATTCCATTTTCTTTTTTTGCCCATCGTAAAGATAAAGTATTTTAAAATAATTGGATCTAGAAGCTAAGATTTCTGAATGTAGGTTAAATTCTTTAATATTCTGTTCTTTACCAACTATAATTTTTACATTATAGTCAATAGGATCTTGGAGCAAATTTAAAAAATCTAAGGTACGATTCATATTTTACAAATTTTGTAAAATAAAAGAAAATAAGGCAAAATTTAGGTTTATGTAATAAAAAACCAATCATTATACCCTTTAACTATTGAAATCACAAAAAAAAAATCACAAAAAAACACATGGAAGAAAAATAAGAATCACGGTGAAGTTACCATAAATAATAAAATGGGAATTTAAAATGCGGGTTGAGTATTTGTTTAGAATAATTATATTTTATTATAACAATTGATAATAAAATTTGTATACTGTATTTTTAATAATAGAGACGAAAAGCAATTCATATAAGATCATAGAAGTGAGTAACTGAAGGATTATTGGATATTGGTGTATAATTCTTATATGTTTAATACGACTCAATATATGTTTTTGATTTACTTTAATATTATATTTAATTTTTATATTTAAGTCATATTTTTACAAAAATATATTAATTATTATAATAAAGTTAAAAAATAATTGCTTACGGCATTTAAATGGAGTGTTTAATTTTTTCGTTTCAATATAAAAAATCACGTATTTGATTGGATATATGTCATGTGATTGCAGATCATTTGTATGTTGTCGCACATGAATTTCAATAAAATGAAACAACAATTTCAAAGAAAGAGTATTTTCAAAATCAGAGACTTTAAACGATAATTTCACGTGAGGAGGGGAAACTTGAATAACATTATTTCAAGTAAATCTCTTGGAATTTAACGATCATAACTTATAGGAGAGGAATTTTTTAGTTTAAAAACATAAATACCGTAACATCATTTTTTTGGACTTTTTTTATAAGGATTGGTCTTTGACTCTTGTGTAAGTGAATATTATCCAGGGTGTGGATTCTTTTTTTTTCATTTTAAGAATGTAACTAATATTCTTCAAATCGATGTCATTTTATTTATGGTCCCTTCTTATAGAAGTATGTTTTAAAGAGAAATTGAAAGTACTTTTTATATAAAAAAATACATATATTATCTCATTATTAATTAACGTCATACATTAATTTTATAAACATCTCATTAATAAAAAATGAATATAAAAAATTGAACCTAAATAGATTTTAACAAATTTTTAATAATAACATAATAAATATAATTTGTTTCACCATAAACATTTTTTAATGATACATTTTTTAAGTGCTCTTAAGTAATTTTTTTAAAAAAAATTAGCATTAACAACATAATATAATTTTATTTGATACTTTTTTTTTTGAACAATTTTATTTTAATAAAAGATAATTTTTTAAAAAATAATTTCAATACAAATACAATATATTCAAAAAAAATAATATATATATACTAAACAGATGATCCAACTCCTCTACGTACCCTTTCCATATATTATCATCCACAACAGTTTTTGACCCAGTATAATTTCAATCAGCGATTCTAATTAAACAGCCATTGCGGCGGCGGATTTATGAAATTTGGCAAAAACCCTGCTGCACCCTCGGGAATTAAAATTGACTTACAGAAACATTAAGCTTTTTTCCTAAAAAATGTCAAATATGACGCACCTTTAACACTGGAAAAATTTGTTAGGTAACGGAAAAATTGGTTAGACGCAAGATTTGGGGTACAAAAAAATTTTTTAGGGCTCATTTTTGACTGTTCACTAATTAATTTGGGAAATTTGGTGACTAAAAGACTGTCAAATATTTATTTAATTTGACATGACGGACAAATTTAGGGTATTTCATAAATCCGCCGTGATGCAGTACCGTTGATAAATCTGGATCATGCAAATACATCATTTATAATACTGTATAAACATGGTAATTAAAAATATAAATGAAAAAAACGCGTTGCCATAAATATGATTTTACCAATAGTACTAAAATGATTTAATTAATTTTGAAAAATTAAAGCTAAATTTGGATTGCAAAAATTCTGGTGGTGTGCTGCAGTAAGTTGTGTTTTTTTATTTTTATAAATAAAAATTTCTTTAAGCTGAGAATTTTGATGTGATCAGCCACATTCTAAAGTAAAATTGGTCAATTATTAAATAAAATTAATACTTTCTACTATTTTTTTTTGTTTTATTATTAATAAAAAAAATATATTAACAGTTAAATTAAAATT